GGGGGGGGGGGGGGGGGGGGGGGGGGGTTCTTTTGGTTTAGCTGTTATTATTACGCTGTTGTTTTTTACGCTTTTACTTTTGGAATATAATGACGATGGATGGGAAGAAGCTTACTGAACGAGCTCTGTTGTATCATGTATCAACAAGAAATCTAACTACCTCAAGCCACCCCAATGCAAATCCCATCCCATCCAAAGAAAGTAACGCCCACCCAACAAATCCACAAATCCAAACACCCACATATCCCAAAATCAGAATCAAAAAAAAAAAATCAAAAATCAAAAATCAAAAATCAAACCCCTCATCCCCCCTCTCTCTCCTTCTCCCCCTCCCAAGCCAACCGGCCCACCAATTCCTCACCCCCAACACTGCCACGCGCCCATCATCCCTCCTCTCGGTACCATCGGGGTTGCCCACGATCATCGCAAAGACCCAGAAGAAGGAGGCGATCCACATTGCCAAGAGCAAAGGGGCGAGAAGAAAGGGGGAGAGGAGGTGGATGAGGATGAGGACAAGGAGGGTTGGGAAGTGAGAGTGAGAGTGGGTTGATGGCTGTGGCTGTTGTTGCTGTTGCGGTGGATGTGGGTGTGGATGTGGGTGTGGGGGTGCGGGGGTGGGTGGTGGTGGTGAGAAGCAGGGGATGGAAGCGGATGGGCAAGGGGCGTGGTGCATATCCGTCGTCGTTGCGGGTTTTTGCCGATAATCGATGTCGTGTCTATGTTTCTTCTTATATCTGCGGCCATCGTTATGGAGATGGGGGTGCAAGGGGGGTTTTCGATGCGGGTCAATGAGGCGCTGGTGGGAGTGCAGGAGCGGGAGGAGGAGGGAGGATATCTGTGTTGAGAGGGGGTGTTTGAAGAAGGGCCCCCGGTTTGGTGGGCAGAGGCGGAGTGGGGAGGTGAGGAGGAGGAAGAGCAGGGTGAACAGGGTGTACAGGGCTGCGAAGAGGGAGAAGGGTGGGACGACGAAGGAGAGGCGGAGCTGTATGTCTTTTTGGTCAGCTGGAGGGCTTTCTTCAGGTTACTCTTCTGAAGACGGGTTTTGTTCTGGGGGATGTATGCATTTTCGTTTTCCGCCTTTTTCATTTGTCTCGTCTGCGGGGATTGCTTTGGTGGTTGGCCATTTTCGAAGAAGCCTGCCTCCCTCTGCAACAACCATCGGTTTCAAACTGAACACAACCAAAACCAAGTATTTCTCCAATAAAATAAAAGAGAAGAAAAGAAATGAAATGGAATGAAAAGGAGAAAGAAAGAGAGAACAAGGTGTTGATCTTACCAGGATGAAAAAGGCATTCTCCCCATCCGTCGCTGCGACCCCCGCATCGACATCGTTCTCATCCGCCACATCCACATCCTCCTCATAAACCGCGCTCCTGCCGTTCCTGTTCCTCTGCAAATAGGGGTTCGAATGTCCCGCCATTGAAGGAAGCCGGGGGATGGTGAGTGGAAGTGTAGTCCTGGAGCCGGGCCCTGACCGGGCGTCCATGGTAGATTGCGACGGGGCGAGATAGGCGGAGAGCAGATGCGAGGGGCCATTGCCGTTGGGGTTTGCGGGGGTATATATCTGGGTGGCCGTAGAAGGAGGATGAGGATGAGGAGCTGGAGCTGGAGCTGGAGCTGGAGCAGGATCTGGCGCGGGTTCGGGTTGGTGGGGAGTGAAGACGGAGGAGGGAGGGGGAGGTCTGTTTGGTGGATGGCGGCAGCAGTCGTTGCGGAGGGTCATTCCGGGGGGGGAGGAGTGCAGCATGGCGCCGGGATGGGGATTTGGGGGTTCTTCTTCCTTAGCAATCAACGCAGGGGGACCTGCGGAGATAGGCACTCTACGGTATCACACCATTCGTCCCAGGCGGTCCACGCTAGGGGCAGAGAGTTGTATTGTGAATGTGCAGAGCAAGAGAGAGGGAACGACGAGAGCTGGAGGCTGGAGGCGCAGGGGCCGGAGCAGGGGCCGGTGCAGGGAGGGCTCTTCTGCAGACTCATACTCACCCATGCCACGGACTGGCGGGAGGAAAAGAGAGCAGAGGCGAAGAGCAGAGCAGAGAGGCGGGCAGAATATGCCGAGAGGAACCCAGAGCCAACACAGCACGGGCAGAAAAATAAAAGGGCGAGAGGAAGACGAGGGAAAAAAAAAAAAAAAGTGAAGGCGAAGGGTAAGGCGGAGGAGACGGGCGGCCAAGAGCCACGCCAGAAAGCCCAGAAGGCGCCGAGAGCTTGGCGGGAAGGGGAGGAGAGAGTGAGAGTGAGAGTGAGAGTGAGAGTGAGAGTGAGAGTGAGAGTGAAAGTGAAAGTGAGAGAGTGAGAGTGAGTGAGAGAGTGAGAGTGAGTGAGAGAGTGAGAGTGAGTGAGAGAGTGAGCGAGAGAGTGAGAGAGTGAGAGAGTGAGCGAGGCGGAGTGGGAGTGAGTGAGTGAGACTGAGCTGGATGTGTGTGTACTGTATCCTGCGCTCTGAGGAGGGCAACGGTAGGTGGATACAGTTAAGAGTGCAGATAGGTAGATGGATGTTATGTTTTGCGCGGAGGGAGGTTCCAAGCCGTGTGAAGCTCCAACCCGCCCCCTCCGCGAGAGAGCGCAAGAGAATGACGCAGGCCCAAGTCTGCCAGGTCTGCCAGGTCTGCGCATCTCCCAGGTCTCCCAGGTCTGCTGCGCCGTCTGCGCATCTCCCAGACACGGCGCTCTTCGCTCTTCTGCCCGACGAGGCGCGGGGTGGAAGCCGGCCGAGGCGACGGTGCCGCGGCGCCAAGCTCTCTTGGCCGGTGCCGTCTGCCAGGACCAGGGATGAGCGGCGTGTAGCTACTTACTACTTACTTACTCTACTTGCATG